ACTATACAATAATTAAGCTATGCTTTTATGAACTATTGAGAAATTTCGGTAAATTAAAAATTAAGCAGTACCCTGTGTTACCTAAATAACCTTGTCCAATAAAATGTAAAAAATAAGAACCAGGTAATTTTTTTAATAAATTGTTAATATTTTATTTATTTATTTATTTATTTCTAACAATATTTAAAATATTACCCAATAAATCTGTGGGTAATAAGAATAAGGCAGAAAAAAAGCACATTTTTTAGTAGAGATTTAAAACGTATTTTCATTAATTTAGAAAAAAATAAATTTCTTTTGTGAGAATCAGATAATCTGTGGATAGATTATCCAAATCTGATTTCCACATACAAAAATATCCACACATCTGATTTTCACATAAAAAAATGATCTCTCCTGAAATAATATAAATACTTCTTAAGGCTTTACTGAATAAATTTTTTTTGACTTGCTATTTACTCATAATAGAACAAACTTAGTCTTTAGATGATAATTTAATTTTGTTCATTCTTCACTGAATTATAATAAAGTAGAAAAAATTGCTATATCGTTGAGTAAAAAACTAATTTTTCATTAAAAAAATCTCAAATTGTTCTGTTATATAAGTATAAAGTTGATGAATAGTTTTATCAATGCGATTTTAATAAAACATACATTTTCAATTTACGTTATAATGCAAATACAATTTTCCCTGTCATATGTAAATTTTTATTTTTATTGTGTTTTTTAGGTTTTGCTCAAAAAAGTAATTCCTTGAAATAAACTATCAAAACTAAACAAGCAGCATTTTAAGTTAAAACGAAAACGAAAACGGTAAAATAACGGTACAAATATACGAAAAATATGAATATAGGGAATGTTTTAATACGTTATTTTTAATACTTAATAACTATCTAAGCAATCAAAAGAATAACGTAATAAAAACAAATTAATTACCACATATTTACGTTAAAACAACTTCATTTTTGATCTCGTTCTAAACCTTTAATATTTATATTTTCTTTATCTTTTTAATTTATATTTTGCAAAATGGTCTACTTAGTTACTAGGTCCTAGTAGATAACAAAGTTTACCATGAAGTAAAATTAATAAATAAAACTAACATTGACAAAACTAATTATATTAATAAAACTAAACCCCTCATATTATTGAAAAAATAGCTTACACATAATAAAAAATGTGCCCTTTAATTATTCTAAATCTAAAAATATTAACTAAAATTTATTTACTTAAATAAAGTAATAAATCCGCAAAGCTTGACTATTTTACTTAAAATGCTGCTTGTTGTTTTACTTTCTTAGATACATCATTTTTGTTTACTTTCTTAGATAGTTACGCTAAATTTTGTAGTTATTTGCTTTTACCATTGTTACTTGATTAAAAATCCTTAACAAAAGAATACTAATCCAACATTTGAATTAATTAATGGGTAACAAATAATGTCTTTCTTTTTCATTATTGTTGATCGACTTCGATTTCACGCCCTTGATTTGTGTGCAACGTAAAGTAAGTAGTCACAGTAAAATATTACTTATTTCTGGGAAAGTACGGTTTGAACCTTGACTTTTAAATAGCAAATTTAGTTATAATTTAAGGTTTGTCTATGATTTTATTCTGACTTTAAGCCTTGTCAAGGACTCTTATAGACAATTAAAGGATTATTTATAATTCTTTTAGCAGGCCTTGTCCTTTTGCATATTATATTTAAGAATTATTCCAAAGTCACGTTTACCACATTTATATGTATTTTTTAATTAAAGATCAAAGACGAATTTACTAATCGCAAAATGTAGTATCATCATCTTGATTTATTTTTATAAAAGTTAACAAGTTTTTTTTCTATGGTTCAATATGTTGTTTATTTAAAACAGCACAATTTTATGTATATTTCGTTTGAACTTTACTTTTTCAAGGTTTTTACTTTTACCTCTTGTTCATTAAAATAGTAAGACCAGGGATTTTATCAACATATTCACGAAAAAATGCCTTATTGTGCCGGTTTAAAGTATGTGATACAGAGAAAGTGTTTGGGTTATCTTTTTGTATCTTGTTGTAATGACCGCAATATTACATTATTTCATAACTTGGTTACATTGTATTAGCTTATTTGGAATGCAGTTATTTTATATTGAATACATTTTTTGAAAATAATTAGATTCTTTCATATATGGAAAAGAAATTTAATAAAGAAGAACATGTGAATATGATTAATCAGTGATTTATTAATTTATCACGATACACAAGTTTTAAGTATTAATTTTAGGAAAGTAAAAGTATTGAAAAGTGCAAGTAGTTTAGACAGCTCGTTAACTTAAGATTCTTATTTGACATAGAAATCCTCATTACTCATTTTTCGTATCTTCATGAACGAAATAATGAAAGTTAATTTATTGTAAATAATATATTTCACTAAAAAAAATATTTACCATATTGTAAATTAATAAATAAACTAAGCATTAAGCAATCATAGAAAGTAATTTTATAAAATTTTAAAACAATGATTTATCTAGTAAGCTTATTAGGTTATAAATAAATATGCAAAATTAGGTTAGGTTTCGCTGGATTTAAAATAAGAGTAGCGTCTTAATTGATCAACCAAATTTGGATTTATAAACAGAAATCCTTAATATTTTATATTTCTAAAAACAAAAGTAAATTACGGGACTAATTATTGATAATCATGGAATAAAGTAATAATAATTATTTATAATAAATTGATAGTCCTGACCTATTGTAAGGAATTTCACGAGCAAGGAGTGTATAAAAAACTGCATTGGAGAATAAATAAATAAATTAAACAAATCGGTTTTTCTTGCACAATAATCAAAGAGTTTGTAACAAATTTTAAAATTTTCTTTCTGGCGTCCTTTGTGACCTTCGTTCAAACTTTCGATTTTAGTTCATTTATAATATACCTAATGAAATGGAATTCGGCAAAATATTTACCCACGTTTAAAAGTAGGCATTTTAATTAATACGGTACCATATTACTTAATGACACGTAATTTAAATTTTAATTAATTGTTAATTATATAATTTAAGCAACAAATTAAAATACGAATTTGGATATTTATTATTTAACCGGTGACTTATGAAAGTATTTCCTTATTGTGACGGGGAAAAATCACAAATGTCACATTTACGTTGGCAATATGTTCTTCTGCAGGAACAGAAGTCTTAAAATAGTTAAGATCATAAATTAACTAGTTACATTAAGGATTCTAATAATAATGAATATAAAACAAAAAGTATTTTTTGTATTTCCACCTTTAAAACTCTCATTATCGTACATGCTTCCATGTTTTTACTTTTACAAAAAAAAATTAAAAATCTAATACTGCCATTTTGAAAGCGACTAAAACAAATTCCTAAAACCAATTTAGTTACTTTCTTCTTGTATAGATGTCGCTTCATACAATTATTTAATTTAGTAAGAAATAAATTATTTTTTATAATAATATTTGTGCTAGAAAATAGTATATTATGTATCAAGTTGCAAGTTTGCGACCGAGTGTTTAATAAAAACGAGTGTTTATAAAACGAGTTGAATAGTATACTTTATCTACAACAAACACAATAAAGAATTAAAAGCAAATTTAAATTGTTAAATATTTGACATCTGACGAATATTACCTTAATTTTTCGTAATTTATAATAAATCTAACTTCAGCCCGTGACTAAAATTCTCAAAATCTACTGTTGCTAACTTAAGCCCGTGACTAAAACACCATAAAGTGACAGCCTGTCAATGTGGGAGCAGATATAGTATTTTATGCAACTTTTCTGGACAATCATTTGTCGCTCGCAAGCTTCGCTCGTGTCTAATTAAAATTCGTGACTAAAATGGCGTTTATTACACTGGATAAATAATATACCATTTTCTACTTACATACTTTAATTCGTTTATTAGACATTTCCTACCTGTACTATAATGAGATCCATTATAATACAAATTTGTCATTACGACACAGTTTTTTAACTAATTGAAATGCAATACACGGCATTATTAACCAATAGAATTGCGATAAACAGCAATATTCTGTCAATATCAACTATTTCCTTGGACATCTGACAGATCTAATATTTATCAATTTTGACAAGTTAATTTTCTACTTTATTTTAATAGTCGTAGAAAAAATTTATATGCAAATCCCATTTAATGGGCGCTCTCATTATAAAATTCACCTTTGGCTTATGTCAAAAATAGTAGTAAAGGCGCCATACCACGCAATAGACTCTATTGAAAAGAGTAATTTAATAATTTTTAATAATTTAATATTCCATAGCTACACAAAAAAATAAAACCACTTGGTTTATTTACTTTATTCTAAAAATTTGATATAAATAAAATAAATTATGATTTTATAAAAAGAGTAATTTTATTTTTTATTTTTAATCAATTCCTAATGTATTTTTAAAATATATATAAATTTTGTATTAAAGATTAAAACAATTTTAATTGATTTTTGCGAATCAATAAATTTTGTGTTAAAAACCTAAAAAAATAATGTATTTTTAATTTTTATAAACATATGTATTTTAACAAAATTTAATATTAAAAAATAATAATTTTTAATTTATTGGAATAAGAAAAAAGATTTTTTTGTACCTATAGATGCATAATTAGTTCTGGATATCAAATAATACCTCATGTGTTTTTAGTAAATAAATAATAATTAAATGTTAAAATTATAATATTGCTCACTAAGATTTATTTACTGTGCTAATTACAATAAAGCAAGTAAACTTTATAAAAAAATTGAGAAAATATTTTATAAATTTATCGCTTCTGAAATAAATAGAATTAAAAAATGTAAAGAAATCTGGAGATCGAAGTAGTAGATGGACAACGAACCTTTATGTATGTGTATTTGTTATAAACGTTACAATTTTTGCAAATTTATTATAAGAATAGTGTCATTTTACATTTTTTTATGTTTTTACGTATTAATGTAAAAATATATAGGTGCATATAATAAAACTAAAATAAAGGTACTTACAGGAAATATTTGGAGCTAGCCATTTTCAAGTCAAGTTCCAAAAATCTATAAAAAGAATACCCGAAAAATACGAAAATTCAGTAGTTTCTCGGCAGTTTTGCCGGCCGCTGAAGGCGCACTGCTTGATTTAGCACACTGAGACGCACTGCAAGAACTTCTGTTCCCTGATTGCTCACAGCCGAACGCACGAAAAGTTGCTCGCAACAGCACGACAACGTCAGCAAACAAACAACGGCAGCGAGAGCACAACAACGCGACTCGGGCTACTTTCGATATTTTGGCCCGGAGTAAGCGAACCGCTACCACTCATCTAACTTTTATAGCTACACGTCAGCCAGCCAGTGACTTTTGACTTCTTGGGGTTTTACAACTACTTCATATACCATCCACCATTGCGTAAATCGGCCTTCATGGTTAGTAGGTATTGGTTTACTATAATACTATAGTACTTATATATAAGGGTGGGTCGCTGCAAAAATAAACAATGCAATGTTGAATTTTCATAGTTTTTTACAGCGATTAGACAAAACTGGATTAAAATATTTTTAAGTAAAAATAGGTAATTAAATCTTATTTATTTTGTTTTGTTAGTAAACTAAATAAAACCTGCGTAATTAGAAGTATATTACATTTAATGGACTTGTGTGGGTACAATAACATTGGAAAAAAATTAGCAATTCTTATATAATAATAATTTATACATACTATACTAAATTTTATTTAAAAATTTTAAGTAGGAACGATTTTGTAGCCAAACTAAAAAACTATTTTTTAAAATATAAAAAAATCGCTAATATGAATTCTTAAAAATTTACTCTTAAAAACTGACATGGTACCCCTTAGATTTTGTAAAAATATGGCGTTTTTTGCTCCATAAGTAGTACTTATTAAGTACAGTCAAAATCTACAATTTAAACCAAATCCGGTTAAAAACGCACAATAAATAAAGATTTTACAGGGGTGGGGTTCAAACAAATGGGGCACAATGTATAAACATACTTATTTTTCTATATTTTTATCCAATTTGTAATCTGTGATTCCCATATTGAAATTTTACATAGTTAGATAGAATGAAATTAAGGAATCCAACGATGTATCAAACTTAGTTATTGCAGCCAATATAAAATAAAAGATGGTGATGGAGTTACCATTGGTAACTTAAAATAAAATAGCAAAGAAACTGAATAAAAATTTAAATAAATGTTTATGTTTGCATGCAAAACTTACTTTTTTCCAAAATTTCCATGAATATGAGTTTTTGGTTTAAGCTGTTTTTAGTTATTTTTTAATATATTGTAAACCGCTGTTTTGTTCAATTTTCTAATTTCATTTTAATAGGCATCTGATATCACTGACCTTGCAGCTTTTTAAATAAAAAAATACCAACATAGATACTGCACCCTGTATACCCTAATTTTAGACAATCAAGCATATACACTTTTATAGCAAATAATAAGTATATTTTATATTATAGTGTACAGGGTTTAACCATTGAGTAAGACTTCTTTACTCAATGGTTTAACTAAAAGCTTCTCCAAGCTTTAGAAACATCTAAAATACTAAAGCTTTTTTAAAAATTTATACGTTTATTAAGTATGGCCAAGAATTTTATTTACATCTTGTAATTTTTAATAAAATGTAATGTAAAATATTTTTTTCATAAACAATTATCTTATTTACAGTATAACAACTTTTAATGAGTTGTCAATAATAAAAATAGTAAACACAATAAAATGAAACAGGAAAAGTAAGTAAATTATAATTTTGTAAGTTTTCTTTAAGGCCATAAAAGGTTTTTAAGAATTAACAATAATAAAAACCATTTTTAAAAAATTAAATAACAAATTAATTTTATTTTGTATTTCAAGCAAAATAGTACGTTATAGACCTGGCGGAGAAAGCATATATTATCGCCGAGCATACAATTTACTGCCGAGGCACTAGATTGTGTGCGAGGCAATTAATAGGCTTTCACCGCCGAGTTTTATTTAATACTTTTTTTCAAACATTTAATTAAAGATTTTCTTAAGATCCTGTCACATCATTTTTAGGTTATGTTTAACTGACATAATGACATTTTAGCTTTATTTCTGTACGGACTTTTGAACTAGTATTAATATTCCTATTTATATATAGACTAATAATTGTGTGCGAGGCAATTAATAGGCTTTCGCCGCCGAGTTTTATTTAATACTTTTTTTCAAACATTTAATTAAAGATTTTCTTAAGATTCTGTCACATCATTTTTAGGTTGTGTTTAACTGACATGATGACATTTTAGCTTTATTTCTGTACGGACTTTTGAACTAGTATTAATATTCCTATTTATATATAGACTAATAATTGTATACCTAATATAAAAATTATTGTACGCTTTTAAAAAAGCTTTAAAAAAATAAATTTAAAAAAATACAGGAGGAGTTCGAGATAGAAGATGAGGCAAAGAACTTTTTTGAAATAAAATCTAGGCAGGGAGGAATACGTTTTGTTTTATATATACAATAAATTTATAAAAAATTTAGTTCTACCACAATTTGAAATAAATATTTGTATACAATTTTAAAATAAAAACAAAAATATTAATCTTTATTTTGCAAAGTTATAAAATAACAGTACAGATATAACAAAATATAATAGAATAAATATAACAAATAGATAAAATTTATATTTAAATCTAAATAATTATCACAGCCTTTTATTTCCACTTATAATTGACCAGGTGCGCTAGTGGAATCTTCTCTTTTGACCTATAGTTGTATACAATATTTTATTCAACTACCGCAAGAAATATACATACAACAGTGTAAAAACTAATTATAAACAATTATGGCATAGAAATTTAAAGCCAATTTTATTTGATATTTTATCTGACATTTGACACCTGTCAGACCGTTTCAACGTCTTTTTTTCAAATTTTAGTTTAAATCTAAATTCAGCCCGTGTGTTAAATGCTATTTTGCCCACTAGTAAGCAAGGTAGAATTTTGCCAACAAGTTGAAGTTAGGGAATTTATTATTTTGCCCACAAGTTTAAGTTAGGGAATTTATTATTTTGCCCACATTTAGTAGGGCCTCGAAGTTTTCTTGCGGATGTTAAATAAAATAACTTTATTCAACTTTAAACGGTGGACGAAACTTTACTTCTCCCACTAGTGGGCGAAATAGCATTTCACCCACGGGCTGAACTTGGCTTTAAGTTAAATTTGGAAAAAGTGAGGTTAAAACTAATTGACAGCTGTCAGTGGTCAGATAAAATATCAAATAAAATTGGCTTTAAATTGTTTCTGTTTGTTGAATAAAATATTGGTCAAAATAGGAGATTCGCTAACGTGTTACCTCACTCGCTACTCTCAAGGAATCTCCTCTTTCTCTCACTATATACTATATATTTATTTTTGGGACACAACAAACTTATTCACCTCTTGCAGCAAAATTTCAGCAGTTTACAGACACAGTGGCGGCTGGTGGATTTTGGGTATCCCCATATCTCAATTATTAGCTATGGGACCCACACCAAATTTATATGAGTTTATACTGACATAAAATAAACAAGTTCTGCGCAAGCAGAACTTAAATTGAAGTTTGCGAAAAAAAAGATAACTTTTTGCTCAGCCGTACCGGCTCAATGAGGACCCTAATAAATATAATATAAATTAAATTTGTGCAATTTACCATAGTTTATTGACAAATTTCAAATTTTATTTTAAAATCCAAATCATACAAATTTAAATCATTTTAAAGTTTTATTATTTCTTTGAAAGGAAATATTAAAAATTTAAAATGGTATAAAATCTGTAAACTTCAATCTAAATTCTGCTTGCGCAGAACTTGTTTATTTAATATCATTATAAACTCATATAAATTTGGTATGGGTCCCATATCTTATAACGGAGATATCCACCAGCCGCCACTGTACAGACATTTCATAAGAAAATGTAGTCATCACTACGATAAGGCAGGGCCGGATTAAGACAATTTGTCGCCCTAGGCGAATAATAATAGCGCCTATAATACAGCCCATATTAGTACCTATGGTATTAATATAACATAATACATATTAGCCGACAGGGGTGCACATAGGGGTACAAATAGGGTTTTATAAAAAAATTACAACAAAATAAATAAAAAAATAATTTATTTTTATATAGAAAAACAAAACAATAAAGAACTTAATTTTTACAATTTTTAAATAACCTAAAACAGAATTATAACATTTCGTCACTATGGCGCCTTTCTTCACAAGGGAACCAACCCACAAAAATAAAAAAATCGAGATAATTAACCCATATTATATGGGCCATATATCCAGATTTTTTTATTTTTATGGGTTATTTTTCTTCTGCAGAAAGCAGTCCAAGTGACACGACCTTTTGCATTACCATCGACGATTTACATATTTTCCTGCATTTAAAAAAAAAGGACTCAATAATATTTTCAAAATTTATTTTATTGACTTCTTCTGCTAAAAAAGGTATTACACGTTTGATAATTATAATTATTTATTTTAATTGGTGAATTTTAATATTCAACCTACTTAAAAAAATTGAGCCTTCTGCCTGGGCGCCTATTGGCTTTGCGGCGCCCTAGCATAGGTTGGCCTTTAGGTTATTCCAGCACTGCGATAAGGTTTATCGACGTACTGGACATTTTTTTTAAATATCATTGCAACATTCAAAAATATACATTGATAACCGATTATTTTGGTTTTAATATAACAGGCCATACTGGGCTTAAAACAATTACTTTTAAGGGTAATATTTTAAGGTTTCGTGGTGATGATCATGAGGCTTTAAAAGTTCTTCAAGTTCTTTCAAGAGTATCTTTAAATGACGAGGCTATAGTCCCAGGAGCCTCCCTTAAACCTGGGCTGGTGGTAATATTAAATGGACACCAATTTTCTCTGATTTAACGTTATAGATTTTTTTATGAGTTATAAAAGCTATGGTCTATTTAAATAAACTGAATATTTTGGGAACAATAATATATTGATGATATTTAACTGGCTCAAATTTTTACAAAAATCTGTATTTGACTTATCATAAATGATAAATCTAAAATAAAATATATTAAAAAAAATGTCAAAATTTGAATTTTAAAGATTGATCTTTTGCAAAATAAAGAATTTCACTTTCGGAACCATAATATATTATATTTATAGTTTATTTATTCAATTTTATCTAGATTATACTTGCTCCCAAAACCATAATGCATTACATGTATATACGTATATCTTAATTTCTAATTTTATTTGACACTTTTACGGTTTAAGACATTACCCATAAAACAGCTGTTGCAATAGAAAAACAAACGAACAAATCTATTCTTTACATGTTTTATATATTTTCACCACTAATGAGAACCCGAAATTTTAGGTCAACGTTTTAGAAAATTAGCTTGATCTATATTTTCATTGTACGTTAAAAGAAATTTATTTTAATTTAATTAGGAAAATGTATGTAAAAC